ATTTCAGCTGATGGGTCAAAATCATGGTCATCGGAACCTGCTGAACCTCCTATGAAAGGAAGCATGAAAGAGGCAATGGAAATTTAGAAGGAAAATATGACAGAATTTAATCTTCATTTAAGGAAATTGCAACAAATTGTAAAGCTCTAAAGAATCACTCAGTATTTTTATTTGCATATCTTCACATATACTGTATGAGTGTGGGCGGCTGAAATGTTACTTTATGGTTTAATTTGTTAAATATTATATTCTAAATTATATAAATGTTGAACTACTTACAAACTGAATACCCACATTTGATTACTTGAAGTACTGTGCACTAAACTAAGGACTTTTTACTTCAGTACTGCAGAGGACTGTAGTACGGACAGCACTAAATCAATCAGTGCCTAATTTTAGCCACTGCTCTGCTCTTTGCTACATCTGTAGTGCAACATGCAAAGCTGGCCACAGTAACACATCTCATCTGAGAAAACACCCGGTCAAAGGCAAAATATATCTAAAAGCTGAAGACTATATTGTGCTTGATTCACCAAAGGAGCTTCAGCTAACATTAGCAGATCTGTCTTTAACATATATGAAGCTGAACACATGGAGGACGATGATGAAGCCTTTTTCACAGTGCTGGCTGACAGTTTAACTTCAACTTCATGGGTTGTTTTTTTTTTACTTTTTACACTGGCTGCACTGCAATTTCTTATCAGACAGATAGATCCTGTATTAATCCTCTACACAAAATTACACTGCCATAGAAGTTTCAACACAATCATAACACCACATATCCCAACCAGCAAAATATTAACTCCTAAATAAATCAGTTGATAATATATAAATAAAACTGCCAGCTAACATGTTCAAATATGCAAACATATCAATAAAATCATTATTACTATTATGCATTAGAAGAAGAAAGTGTACTTTATTGGTCCCCGTGGGGAAAATCCCTCTCTGCATTTAACCCATTCACTCAGTGAAGCATTCTTATAGTAACTGTTATAAAAGGGCTCAGACTTGCACATTGATGCAATCAGCCTTTTACTGAAGGCGCTATTGTTGATAATCTCCAGGGTGTGTGCGTGCAGAACTGAAACGACCACATTACATGAGATACCACATCAGAAATCTTATTTAGTCTAACATTGTTATTTAATATCGTAATATACAAACACTGTGACAGTGATGTCAAGATCACAGAAATTTTCAGATGATGAAGGTAGCTGGTGTGGTGAGTACAATGCTTAAAAAAATACTAATAATAGCAAAATGTACCGATTAAGAAGTACGGACTTATTTTTTAAATTAGTATTTTGTAATATTAATTTCTCATTTCAAAATAAGTACAGGAAAAAACAGTGTTGTCTTAAACATAGAGGGTACCTAAGCCTAAAAACTTGATACATTTATTTTCCGTTTCAAACTAATCATATTTTTTAAAACAAACAAACCACAGAACACGATTAATATCGATCAATGTCAAAATCAAAATGAATCCGTGTCTGATAGACAAAAGATTTCAAATCAGTGTCTTTCGACCAAACAACTACAGAAAGCCTCCAACTGCATGTAAATTACCTGGGCTCGAATTCCCGAGGGAGGGCTGAAAAACAGAAAAAGAGCAACAAATTAAAATATAATTTATTTATTTTTTAAATACTATTTTAAAAAACTGCATCAGATGCAATACGTCATTAGATGGACAACAACAACATAAAAAAAGCTCACTCCTGATTAACTTGACATATTCTAGTTCCTTTGACAGAGGACTGTAAACGGGAGCTGGGGAAAAGCGCGCCCGACCCTGTCCTAAAGCTGACTGCAGTTCAACACAAACTGAAACAAAGAATACTGTCACCGGTTCCTGTGGGAACATTTATTTAGCAACTCGCTGATTGAAATGTCACAGGTACAGCGGCGTGTATATCACCGGCAATCACCCAAACTTAGCGCCAACAGCCAAGTGCTTACTAGGTTAATTTTCTCAGCTCGCTAACTTACAAGAGAAGTTCCAAGCTAGTTAATTCTCCTTTAGATATTTATGCTAACGCGTCCAAGTTAGGCTTGGTATCAACAGGCAACAAATAACGATTAAAAATAACCCATAAAATATCTCCAAGCATAAAAATCCGCCACACGGCTGAATAAAAAATATCATACACAGTTAAGTATTTTCGAAGAAAACCGCGGAGTAACATCGCTAACGCTGCTGCTACCTCCAAACGGGGCTAGCGTCGCTAATGTTAGCTAAACCCGAAGTTTAATAAACATGCCTGAGTCGAGAAATGCTCATTATTTAGCAGCGAAAACATCCCACAGTTAATTTCGTACACTTAAACTACAACACACAAACAGTGTGAATATTCGACTGAAGTAACTATCCCGTAGTATAAATTTATTTTTTCCGAATATTTATTTCACTTTCTTACCTCCGCCATGTTCGCAATCCTACAGGGTCAAGTCGGGGGTCAGCGGTAGTTCCCGTATGTGGAGCCCCGCCCACCTACGTCTCCATAGAAAAACTGAGTGACCGCAAGCAGTGAAGTAGTAATGTACTCCTATAACAGCAAGCTTAACGCAAAAAAAAAAAATTAGTTTTGTAAAGGAAATTTTTCATTGTGTTTTATTTAATTCGGAACATTTAAATTTATAAAGCCTTTTACTGTATTATATTCAGCTTTTATATTTAAAATTACTTTCAGCTTCTCACTTATTCATAAAGGCTTCCATAGGCATCAAATACCACTATACCATGGAGCCAACTTTTAAATGTAAATTAAAAATATTATTTTCAAATGTTTTCTGTAATGTCTCCACTGTCACATGTTTCTTCTTATGATAGTGGTTTTATGTTCTTATCAGGGAGAATACAGACACAGAGGCTAAAGGTGATGGCGATGTATGTGACAAAGAAGGTGTGCAGCCAGTGTCCTGGTGTGGAGGTTCTAACTGGTTTGGGTCTAGGCTGTCCACCAGAGCTCAGATGCAGTTCTAAAGTTTTGCAGGAGATATTATCAAAATGTGGAAAAGCTTTTGGAATAAACTGAAAAAAATTATATGACCACCTTTATTCTTCAACACAGCATGAACTCTCTTAGGGAATGTAACTTATTGAAGTAGTCTTCAGGAATAGTTCTCCAGGCTTCTTGAGGAACATTCAAAGCTGTTCTTTGGATGTTGGTTGCCTTTTGTTCTGTTCTCTGTCAAGATGATCCCACACTGCTTCAGTAATGTTGAGGTCTGGGACCATGGGAGGCCAATCCATGACTGACTGACTGATAACTTTTGTACTGTGTTTTTTTTTTATTTAGGTATGCTTTTACTGAATTGGCAGTGAGTTTGGAATCAACATGAATCAAATGCTGTCCATATGCTCTTGCATGTTGGTACAAAATCAGATGGCACTTTTTTTTGTTCATAATTACATCAATTTTGACACCAATGGTTGAATTTCAGCCCCAATTCATGACAGTGCCCCCACTCTGCTTTACAGATGGCTGTGACACTCACTGTTGCACCTGTCCCCTGACTTTCTCTGTATATACTGACATTGATTTGAACTGTAAAATTCAAATTTGAATTCATCACTCTATCAGACCTGTAGTCACTGATTTTCAGTCCAGTTATTGTGTGATCTGGCATACCTCAGCCCTTTCTCCTTGATTCCTTTCCTTAAGAATGGCTTCTTGGCAGCCACCCTTCCACTGAGACCATTTCAGATGAGGCTTCAGTGAACAGTAGGTGGATCAACTGTAGTGCCAGATATATCTCTAGGATCCTGTGTGAAGTCTTTGCTGGATTTTTTCCTATTTCTTAAGGACATGACTTTCAGATACTGTTCATTTGCTGGAGACACTTTTTCAGGCCGGATTCTTCTTTTGTCCTCCACTTGTCCAGTTTCCACAAAAACTTAAGGACACACAACACACTATGCAGAGATATGCAAAGTTTGCATTTAATAGTTCTTTAGTAAACACCTTGCTGGTGGAAAAATACAACTTTATGTCTGCCAAAGTATGTTATCTTTTTTATTTTCTGTTGATTCAGCTAAGGAAATAGGGACAGTTTTTTGCAAAATGCTGCTAGTAACAAACTGCATATAGACACAGAACATATGTACCACTGGAATTCAGTCTTGTTATATTAATTTGCTAAATCAGATAATTATTACAAGGTGTATGTGAAATCTGTTTAACTTTTTCTTTTGTGGGTTCTTCTCTGAAGACACAAGAGAAATTACTATGCAAACAAGAAACCCACTTATATTTATAGAAAGAAATCCCCTGTATTTTAAAAAGAAATACCTGTGTCCGCTACAGTAATATTAAAATAACATTTGTGAATGTGTCACAGTTTACAGGAGTGCTGTATGTGCAAACTCCCCATAAAACCCTGAGAAACATAGCAGATGTTATGAATAACCTTAAATGTCATAAAGAACAAACGAATTTTACACTTTTTCCAACTGAACCAGGCTATAAAACTTCGATTTATAACACCACCCCTCCACTGTTGACATATAAACACGGGCAAGCAATGACAACTCTAACCCAGAACATAGGTTCGATTTAACAAGTGTACCGGTAATAGCAACTGTCTTTCCGTGGAATCATTGATTTATGCCAGTGATAGTGGCCGTGCGCGCTTCTTCGTTGCTATGCAGAGAGCAATCACCTCTTTATCTCGTAGGGCACATATCTCAAGAGATCCATTATGAAATACTTTGCTGAATCCACGGCAATAAAAACCCTGCAGTTCGAACATAAAATAGCAATTCTTTCCCTTTAACATTTACTAAAATGCAGTCAATCAGCGATCTTTGCAGTGACTTAGATTCCCACACATATCCCAAATTGGCAGATTTACATCCGCTGTTAAAAGCACACGATGATCACCACACGATGATCACCAATGATAATGCATAGATAATGCATTTACTCAGGAAACACCTGAGGAAGGCTGTGCGATATAAGACCCGATCGGGACGTGTCCTGAGAAACATCAACATGAGATCCCTACCGTTGGTCATCGTGCTGCTGTGCATGTTGTGTGCGGCGCAGGTTCAGACACAGGAGAGCGCCAACACACTGAAGCTGTGCGGTCGAGCTTTTCTAAGGGCAGTGGTGTTCAACTGCGGAGGATCCAGGTGGAGAAGATTTATGGGAGAAGAGGATACTTTCCCAGAAGGTCAGTATGGACTCACCTCTATTTTCCTTTTTAAATTCATCTAACCTAAATTAGAGACTTCTAGTAAACAAATATTTTTACCTCTTTGGCAGTCAACAGAGAGGCAAACCTCCTAAAGTGGATAGATGTGTCAGTAATGGAACGTCAATTGCGGGACCAAAATGCGGCCTTGATGAGAACGTGCTGCCAACAGGGTTGTCAAAAAAGCGACCTGTCCATGCTCTGCTAGAGCAGAGGAACATCTCAAGGAAGTTCTCAGTCTGTCACAGTTACTCCTAATTTGGCATAATCTCTGTTGTACAGAACACTGTAAGGATGACGTCATTTCTGAGTGCAAAAATGTAAAAAAATAAATAAAATGTAAAAAAAAAAGCACACTGTGAGGTTTGGTTAAGATTTGTTTTAAATTTCTTTACAACTACTCAAAAACAGAGCACAGAAAGAGAGAATTCACTCAAAGTAAACAGCGTAAACACTCGCCACGCCAAACAGAGAACTGTTCTTGAAGAAGTGCGAGGCGAAAGTGTCATTAGACGTGTCCCAGAGACAGCGGCTGCTGATCTGCATGCATTGCCCGGTGAGCTGGCCGATGTGGACCAGGATGACAATTTTGTATCTGGGGATCATTAGTTCCTTCACGCGGGCTCTTATTACCTGGAAGAAGAGTCAGTCTGAATAATGGAGAAATTTAAACATGTTTAGAAAGAGTTGCATCTATTCTTCATTTACCTCGCACAATGTTTTGGTCATTTTTTGAGACCACTCTACTTCATATTTCTCCTCTTGGAGGTAACTGGTAAGGACGTCTTTAAGTATGTCTGTGGCAGCGTTGGCAGGGAAGCGTTTGTAAGGTCCTGTGGTGCGAAAAAAGCCAGAAAACATTTATTACTAACAAAAATCCCATTTTATATTTGTCTAGTAGTTTTGATGGTGGGGTAAAAACATGATGGATGCATGTGAACAGAAGAAAAATTCATATTTTTGTCCATCTCAATTTATATCCTACACAAAACAGTAGGCCACTCTTTACCACTGTGAGGCTGAATTTTTACTTTTCTGCTTAAAATGATCAAACAAAATATATTCAGTTTATTTGTCAGTTCTGTGATGCCTAGAACCTAAAACTCAGCCCCAGTTTTGTAGGCAATTAAAAAGGCTAACTCACCCATCTGGTAGGTGTTCTCCATTGTTGGAGCAAGGCGAGCATTGTCATCATGGTGGCCCAGTTCATCAATGTATGACACAGTGCTTATAGAGCTGAAAGACATAATCATGCTGAAGAGAATACCAGGACAGATGCCATGTGGACTGACCAGCAGTTTCACAACCAAACATGCTGCACTGGGAATGCTGTTTTGAAAATCATTCATAACCTACCAGGAAGCTAAAAAGCTAAAAGATGGACACTGGCCCATATTATCTTAATAGTCTACTCACTCCTTAGTCCTGCCAGTTGTGTCTTTGCCTCTCCCGTTAGAAGGCACCTTGACTACCCTCTTCTCTTTCCTTTGCTGTTTTTCTTTATCGGACATCCCCACTTCTCCTTATTTTTGGTTTCTGAATGACCTGAATGTCGCACGTAGACCCTAACAAAGTACAAAAAAAATACGCTCATAAATGTGTCATTTGCGTTCAGAGTCACTAGACCGAGTTTGAAAAGTAGAGTTTTTAATTACAAAATCGATTACAGATTATAAAATTAGAATACTGAGCCAAATTACCAGTTTACCAGCCTTGAACTGAGCCGAACCAGTCGTCTGGTATGGCTTGGTGTTGTTATGGAAACGGTCCATTAAGCTGTGGGAGGGGTTTCCGGTGAAGTGCTTGTTAAAGTCTCGCGAGGTGAACGACCGAGACAAGCTTGGAAACGAGAGGCTGAGTTAATTACATTTTACAGTAGATATAATTTTAAGGCTCACCTTACCTTACGTTAAAGGCAAAGTTGTGTACCCTTTTCATCTCCCATCTTCTTCCCTTTTTAACGTTGTGTTGTGGTAAACTAGTTCCTGTAAAGCACTTTGGGCTCATGTCAGTAAAAAGTACCATTTCTGAATATTTCTTGCTTGATACCCCGCATTTTATTAAAGGAGGCCAATAATTATAATAACAGTTACAGAGGTGGCAACAATATACCTTTTTCACAAACGTTATACTGACATGAAAAAGATAAACACAGGAGCTACAAATAATCTAATAATATCATATAACACAATAAAAAAATATAATATTCATGCTCTGGCCAGTTTATGCACAGATCCTTAATTTATGTGATTAGCAACACCTGTGTTTTACGGCAAATAGCTGCTGTGGAAAAATTATATCCTTGAATGCATCCTTAAAAGAAACATATGTGGGGGAAAACACTCTTCTAAGATAGGATAAGAGTGTATTAAATACATTTTAAAAAAGAATATGGAATAGATGAAAGAAATATTAAAAGATAATTAAATCAAATTAAGATAACTATTAAATTAAAAGATAATGATTTGTAAATAACTGGATATGAGTAAATTAAGCTTTTTATCTATATCTATGTATATTCTTATAATACAGTTTATTTTTAACTAACTAGGCAGCTCATTCTCTTTTTCATCCTTCATCCTGCTTCATAAACTGTCGTCATGTGCAGGAATAAGACCATGACGGGGTAAAAAAATTCCCATAATCCCACTAAGGACTGTTTTTGTAGTTGCTTGGGAGTGTTTATTTATATAACATGATGACTGATGATGATGGTTTTCAGCCTATTTGACCTCACTATTAAGTTATGACAGACAATAATTTACAGTGTCGCTGAAGCGCCAGGTTGTACATTTAATGTTACGGGTTATGTGCCTGTAGGTGTTATATTTTTACATTTTTGAACAAATGAGAAGGAGATAAATGACTCTTATTTCCTCTTCTTTATTACCAAGTAAAACAGGTATTACATTATAATGACTTTTTTTTTCATATATTTACTCTCAAAATCTTTGGATGGGAAATTTACATGAAATGTTTGCATATTCTGATCCTAATGCAGTGAAAGAATACATACAGCCAAAAAAGTTGTAGAAAAAATAAACTTACAGAAAACCTCTGGTTTTGGAATATTAGTGTACACTCAAAAATAAGGCAAAGAAAAATATAAGCATATTCAACAGAAGAAAAACAAAAGTCGTTCTTACTCAACCAAAAAAAAAGCCATGTTTCTTTTTCTAAGGAACTGAATTTCGCCCGAGTCCAAAGTGTGAGTCAACACATGGAAACGCTCTGTAAAAAAGTGAAACACACACATGTGACATGAAGCAACGATTTGTTTCATGAAGAAAATTGAAGGTGTGCTTTTGTGTGCAAGTCAAACACAGGAGGATGTCAAACACCTATATCGGATGCATGGGATGGGTACGTCATTGAACGCATGCCAGATTTGATTGACAATGAGTTTCTGAAGGTGCATCACCAGCAAAATAGAGAATGGAGGCGCAAGTGAAGTCAAAGGAGTCTCTTCTCAAAGCACACTGATACAACAACACACACATCATGACCTCACTGAAATGGATAAAGTGGTATTGCATTGATAAGACCGGCGATGGACAGGTGCAGATTTCATGCGCCACTGTTTGGAGTTATTCATCAACACCTTTTCTTTTTTTTTCTCTTTGTTTTTTTGTTACAAGAAACCCACGTTAGATGAAGAGAGTGTTGTGTGTCGTTACGCAGAACCAAATGCATTATGAGCGCTGACATCAAGAAACCAAGAGACGATCACAGACACGTCCATATGCTCAGAGAAATATTTGAAACATAGCTTTTTATGTACACTTTTTACACTTAAGTCTTTTAAATATTGCTATTAGAAAATGATAAAACATTTATTCGACATGGTGGGAAAAGGGAGAAAATAAAGCAGGGAAATAAATAGTGCTGTCTTTTTGATAGACACTTCTTTTCATTGCTCTGTGATGTCCTCCATCAAAGATTATTGTCAGAGTTTATAAGCAGCATCAAAGGCAACTCCTACAATCCATAGCCCTGGTCCCTTTAGATTTCTCTGGAAACTTAAAGGTCCTTTTCCTCAGTGTATGGCACTCTTGCATCTCTAGACTTCCTAATATAATTTCTGGATAAATTACCCAAGCTGTCCCAGTGAAAGTAGCAGCTTCACACATAAGCGTCAGCTCAGTATAATGCAATTCTACCCACAAAACACCACCACAAACTCCACCTGTGTCCTGTAATGTGAGACCTTTGATGTATCTCAACATTGCACTTGCCCTTTAGTGGTAATTCGATGTGTTTGTCGTGCACCAGGTCACACTGCTCTAACTCTCTGCCAACACGACTCGTTAATGGTAAAAATGCTTCCAGTAGTAGTGTTTAAAGGCTGTGTGTGTGAAAGTATGGCGTTATGTATGCGCTTCAGCCCTGAGCACAGTCTTTCCAGCACATCAAGTGTGGTTTGTAAAGAAACTCTTTTGCACTCAACAAACTGAGGCCTGATGTTTGACTTTGAAATGACCAAAACTGCAGTTCCTTTAACGTCCACTCGAGGCTGCCTCCAAAAATGAGTCAATCCCCATAAACTAGGAGGTGGGGAAAAAAATCGACACTGCATATTATTGCAGTATTTTATCAATACGTAAACACCAAATATCGATATTTTACGAAATGAATGAAAATACTCTGAATACTACGAACAAAAGCGCTCAGCTCAACCACCATCATCCTGAGATAATGTTAGTTAGTGAACTCACATCGGCTCAAATGTGAATTTGTCTGTGAAGACATCAACAGATATGTGACTTTCACCCAACCGTCTGGTGATTTCCACCTTTAACATTTACAGTTTAGTAAAAAAAACTTTTCATTTCCAATGACAGTGGTGTCCTCAGTGGACTAACTATGCCACTCGTTTTCTGCAAGGCACCACCTCAGTTAATAGGAACTGGACCCGTCGTGCATGTGGGTGTCTTTTTGATCATTCTCTGAGCCATCTGCCAAATCTCCTGCCGTGTTGCACATCATGTCCTAGAAGTCTCTGCTCTATATTACTTGAGTGAACCTACAGCGAACTTAGCCCGCAACCCTGTCATACAAATATGGCCACAAATATAGCTCCAATAATCCAAAACACTCACGACGACTATAAATCAAAATGTAACTTTGCTAACCAAGTCAAAATGGTTCATTCAGTCTAAGGAAGCAAAATAGCATTAAGTTTGGATCTTGGTTACCGTGGGCTTATGATGATTAAATGGATCAAGCATACAAATCATAGAGCAAACAGTTTTATTTGCTCTAATTATTATTGTGACAAGTTTCCCTACAAAATCGAATTTATGTGCTAGAAGGAAATGATCATGACCCATGATCAAATTGTTCCCT